GAATACCGGTGTACCTATTAACTCTTGCCATTTTCCTAGTTCTACAATTCCATTTCCTGTTGATTCAATTTTTGAACCGACCGTGAAACAACACCATTTAAACTATGAGGATATCAAAACTATAGTTTCAAAACATTCGATGAACTTTTTGAAGCTTGCTTTGCATAATGGTCGCAGCCTCTGTAGTAACGTAGACAATTGTCGACTAAAATATGGCTCACCAACAAATCCGTTGAATTTCAGGGTTATAGAATAATACGATCCTGACCGGAAATGTACAAAACGGAATCGCAGAGGAGGCGTTGCTTTCTAGTTGATGACAAATATCCGGTTCTCAGTTTTTGCCAAGTCTGAAGCTAATAGTGAAATCGAATACTTATTTGTTAAGTTAACAAAGGCTACCTTAGTGTATGGAATTATTTACAAACCACCCGATGTAAACCTGAACAAAATGAAAATGGTTTTTGAATTCATCTTAGAAACACTGGCTACTGAACCTAATGTTGTGTTAATGGGTGATATTAATGTAAATATTTTAGATGTAAATTCTTCCAAATGTCGTAGTATGCTAGACCAACTGAATACTCTCTCTTTTAAAATAGTGAATCAGTCACCCACACGCCATCAACCCGAAAGCACCGCGTCTCTTACTGATTTTATTGCAGGAAATTGTACATCCAATGTGAATAATACCTACCAGTCTTCTGCTGGCGGTATTAGTGACCACGATTTAATATGTATTGACTATATATTCAAACACTCAAAAACTACATCCGAAACCTATTTCCATCGCGATTACAATAACATTAACCACGATTCCTTTATACGGGATTTACAAGAATTAAATATGGATGCTATCTATTCTTATTGTGATGTAAATGACAAATTGAATAACCTGAATAATGCACTATTGTCACACATAAACCGTTATGCGCCTTTAACCAGCAAAACTGGTAAGAGACCCTTCAACTCCATGGCTTAACCAACATGTCCACAAGATGTTCAAAAATCGTTCGGAAGCATATGACTGTTGGAAACGCGATAAAAATAATGCTTAAAATGGCAAAATTTTGTTAAGCTACGCAACATAACTAACCGTACACACTTAGAAATAACTAATTTTACAAGTGACGGAATCCATCTCTGACGTAATAGATGAGACGTAAACAAACATGTCATGTAATATTAAGTGCTCCGAGACCGAAAAGTTCGTTGCTTGACGAAAAGTACGGTTGATTAAGCTATATTTCGCGTCTGTTATGACTCAAATTTATGTCAAAATTGACGCTCGTATATTTCAATCTCACAGCACCTAAATTTACATGAGTTTTTCTAAGTGTGTACGGTTAAAAACACTAAACGTGAATACTTTGCTTCCCAACTTAGTGCATTTCTCCCTGCAAAACAACACACTTAGAAATAACTATTTTAACTCGAGACGTAATCCATCTTTGACGTAAATTATGGAACGTAAACAAACATGTCACGTAAAATTAAGTCTTCCTAAGCCGAAGCATACGCAACTCGACGAAAAGTACGCTTGATTGAATTGATTTTCTCGTTTCTTTCAACTGATTCTTAAGTCATTTGGGCCGCTTGCATGTGTCGGTCTCAAGGCACGGAAATTTACATGACTTTTTCGTAATGTGAACTTAGGGATAATATTAAGCGACTCGGGATAAAAGGCTCAAATATGAATGTTGGTGATGTCTGCTGATTCATTGAATTATTATTTTGTTTCACATTTTGTCCCATCATCGTTTATTGAAACTGAGCAAGTTGATGAACTTTTGCTTTTTTTTATTCAGAGGTATTACTAGTAACGATATTTTGGCAGAGTTTGCGTCTTCTTCATGTGATTCTGTGTGTACTGATCTCATTCTTCTAAATAATTCGAAAGTGTTTTTACGTGTCACTCTACCTTACATCACAGACTTATTTAATTTTTGTATAACGACTTCAGAATTTCCATGTTCATGGAAAGTGGCAAAGATTGTTCCTATTGGTAAGATTGACAATCCAACTACAGAAAAGGATTATCGACCTATTAGCATACTTTGTGTTCTGTCGAAAAATTTTGAATCAATTCTATCCAAACAACTAAACGAATATCTTAATAATCATAATCTGCTATGTTCTTTACAATCTGGTTATCGTGAGAACTGCAGCACGATTACAGCTCTTAAAAATTAAAGACGATTTAAGAAATCGACAGTGAGCATTCATAAGGGCGAATACGCGATGATCGATTCTCTTCATCGATTTTCTCTTTGCATTGCTACAGCTAGGCGAAACAATTTTCTAGAATTTGTTCAATGCAGAGTAGTAACAGGTTGTATTGGCTATCAAAAGCAACAGCAAACGCATCGAGAAACGTTAAATCTAGCGAGTTATTAACAAAAGAGAAAATCGACGAAGAGAATCGATCATCGCGTATAGGCCCTTATGCATGCTCACTGTCGAAATGCTCTTGATAAGAAAATGTTAACCGTGATGGCGTTCTTAGATTTCAGCAAAGCTTTTGATTCAATTGATCATCGGAAAGTCTGCAATATACTTGCTAGTTGTTTCAAAATAGGTCATTCCTCAGTGAATTTAATCGAATCATATTTGGCTGGCCGATCACAGTATGTTGAATTTAATAACATGCCATCCAATTACGTGCATGTTCTGAGTGGGGTTCTTCAGGGATCCATCCTGGGACCCCTACTTTTTTTCTTTGTTCATCAATGAAATGCCCAACGTTTTAGTAAATTGTAAATTTCACTTATATGCAGATGACTGTGAACTATACATCTCTGGGAAATTGAATAATATTTCTGAAACTATATCATTATTAAATAGCGATTAATATAAAATTAAGATCAAAACAAACTGGTATTCAGGATATCCCATTATTTGAAGTGGGTGCTGATATCATTATGTATTCTGACAGAATTAAAAATCTTGGTATTGTAATGGATTGCAACCTCAACTGGAATGTTCAAGTCAATGCTGTGTATAGCAAAGTTTATTGTAGGCTTCACTCCCTAGTTTTGTTACGTCACTCCACGCCTCAACATATCAGATTTCAGCTGGCTAGAACCTTGATCGTTCCATTATTTTTGTACGGGGATATTCTCTTTAGCTTAACTTCTAAGACAAATACAAGAAATTAATGCCGTTACTAGATACGTATACGACCTGCGGAAATACGATCACATTCACGATCACGATCACACTTTTCTAATTTATTACTCGAGTACGATTTCGTCAACTACATAAAACTTAGAATGTGTATTCAAACTTTTAAAATTTTAAACGAAAGTCCGATATATCTTCAAAACTTCTTTATTAACTCACAACCTTCTAGGTCAAGTGTTTTAATTATTCCAAGATGCTCTACACATTGTTTAAGTGAATCGTTGCGCTATCGCTCGATTCGATTATGTAATGAACTACCGAGGGAATGCAAGACAGCAAGAAGTTTAACAACATTCAAAAACTTATGCAGCAACTACTTCAGTTAGGATAATAGGTTCATCGGTAGTGTAATAGAAGCACAAACTCTGAAAATCATTAGTAGATTACTTGTGCTATTATTCTTGTATTGTATAAATATATAAATAAATAAATTTTCAGTAGATTTTCTCAACCTACACGGATAGAAATCCCCTTATTCCTTTTGACAATTTTCTTTTGCAGCAAAAAATAATAATGAAGATCATGTGTCAAAAAAAGTATAAATGGTCACACATACCGTTTTTGTTTTCTTATAGGACCTATGTGGTATGTGTATGGGCGAAAAACATGAATAAAATAATTAATTTTCGTTTCGTGAACGTTCATTGAACATCCTTTTTTATATTGAAGTCTACCCCAAGTCTAGCAGACTAAGTGCTACACCTAGCACAGATTATGGAAAGAATCAAGTTCACAAAATCCAAACTCCATTATAGCTCAACACACTCAATTTGTACTCTATTATGTATGCTCGCGCAAGTAAGCATCTCAAGCTCTATACGTCACGTAATTTCACTGTGGTACTCTTTTGCAAAGCACATCTTCTTGTCTTGAAGATTGATTTTCTGCCTGATTTGCTCTTCGCTTTATTGTTCCTTCACCCTCCTGTAAAATCATAAAATCAAAAGCCAAGTATGTTAACACCGTGTCGTCGTCGTTGTAGTCATCATCGTCGAAAGTAGCAATATCGATCACATGTACACAATACTCGTATGGCGTGTTGTCTTCTCTTACGAGTGTACCCTGCTCCGGCAGCAACTTGACTTGTAACAACTCGCCTAAAAAAATACCGTCGTCTCGTCAGTTCCTCTGCGAAAGCCAATTATTAGGGGAAAAAAAGGGCACATGTACAAACACAAGACGCACAGCTGTAGACACATACATTACGCACCCGTAATACGCGCCTTTGTCGGATTTGTCGCCTTCGCACATGCACACAATCCAATCAATCAGTGAAAATTGAATAAAAGAAATATTTGATCCCCCTTTAGTTCGAATCCCTTTGGCATGATGAGCGAAACCAGGTTCATCGAGCCAAACTCACTCACTCAAGTGGCCCAAATCGTTTCAGGAGAGAGGCTCAATAAAAAGGAAAATCAAATACTTTTTTTATCCTTTTCCGCAGAGCAGGAACACGGCCGATGAATCTGATTCAAATATGAGTTCCATTTACTCACTTTCATTAAAATAATCGTTCTTCACAGACTGAGTAAAAATCTGCTCGAATTTTGGTAAATATTATTCATATTCGAGCAAAAAACTTGCCTCAGTCCATCAGTAATCACAGTGAGTAAATCGAAAGCGAGTAAACGGAACTCAATTTGAGTCAGATTCTACGACTGTGCAGCACACGGCATACGAAAAATGGAAACATCCTTTTCGATGAACCTTCATCCTTGCAAAGATGTTCCATTTTTCCTATACACCGTGAGCAGTTGGACGAAAGCCTCTCAGCGCCTATGTTGCTTTCTCTACAAGTTCTCAGAATCTCGTCTTACCTGCACAAAGTGCTGAACACTCTCCAGCAGCATACCGTACATCGTACACGTCGAAGTGCCTGCTGCCTCCTATCACAAGAAAAAAGAAGATAATCTGCGGAACGATCCGTCTCCAATGTTGAGGGTCCTCCCCTAATTGAGCCGTCTGCTGGTCCTCGGATGGCACGGCGTTTCTATTCAAACACAATATTCACACTTCACTGATCAACGATGCCCACACCCTGCACCACCATCATCATCTTCATCATCTTCGTTAGGTCTTTCATCATCATTCAGTGCAAAAATAAGAAATATTTGCTATCATGTATCGCCGGTTCCGACTACCTTTCGCCTTTTCTGCTTTAATGTACCGGTCCGCGACAGCTTCTCGCCCGTTAACGGGCTTGTTAAAAAATAGAACCTATTTTTAGACTAACCGTGTACCAAGGTTCTCCCCGATATATTTCCAACCCAAACATAAACCAAATTGTCAATCCACCTCACGCTTCCACTTTCTCGGAGAGAACATCTGTGGTACTCAAATTAACATTATTATTTCGTACCAGTTGCCCACACTTTTGTCGCTATCTGATTTCATCTCTCCTATACATTATTCGGTTTGTGCTTCATCGCGAAAACTTCTCCGTTAACAGTGTTGCCGCTACACGTGGGGATCGGATTCGAGTGCAGATTGCAGAGAACACGAAAAAGTTCAAAGTCATATCAAGCTGATGTTGCTGCCGACGACCGCCGCCGCCCACACCTGTAGTATGGGTCTTCGGCGAAATCAGGGAAGCAATCTGATGATCCCGAGGAAATTGCTTCAATATATTCGTTATTTGTTCGGTGGCCGTTGAGGAAGGATGTAGCATGGGAGTTTTCGTTGTTGTTGAGCAAGTAATTATCGTGTGAATTCGTGGATTTTAATCATACAGGGTTTTAAGAATTGCTCCTCAATCGAACGGATACTGTATTATTGCTTTCATAATATTACGAATAAAATCTTCAACAAATATTACTCTGAACAAAAATGCTAGGGAAATATGAGGCTATGAATAAAACCCGAGGTTCATAACTAACTAATGATGATAAAACTGACAAAATCCTTTAAAAAATTGCTGAGTTCTGAAACTTGCTCATTACCCCGTCTTCCCCTACACAGCTTAAATTAATTTGTAATTTTACACGAATTTCCTTTTTGAACGAGTTTGCATAAAATCGAGCTGATTGTCAAGTACGCGGAATTATCACAGACGCGGAATAACCCGCCTTCACAGCACAGTACAGTATCTGAACGAATTAAAAGTGCTCTCTGCATAAAACCGCTTTAATCAATATTTTGTCTGTCTTTCATTTTCTATTTGAGAACGCGCTTATGCACGTCACATCGTTGCACATAACATTCTCCTCTAAAGAAGTGACTCGAGTTATACACGGCGGAGAAAAAAACTGATCCAATAATCGGTCCGTCCGCCGAATTAGCTTTCTCAATGTTTGTTGATTTAAATTTACACGAGCATGTAAATTTATAGCTTTTATCGTTGAAAATTCGATGTTCTTCGATAAGTTTTTACATCGCGTGGAGAATAATACACTGCAAGAGAAAATTAATCGAACAAACGTCCAATTTTATGAGTCATATCATGCACTTTTAATGTGCATGATTTGTAATGTAAAATTTAAATTAAAACATAGTTTAAAGCGATGTAACTTTACAATGGTTTTGGTTTACATGTCATGTCTAATTCCTTATTTTTTGCTGTGTAACAGCAATATGTGCCAAGGAGCGCTTACCACGCTAGAAAAATAACTACCTCTTAAAGCAGAAAATCTGCTTTACACCTAATTATTTCCCATGAGCCTATAAAACGTTGCCTCTTGCGGTCGCTCGTTGTCTCGTGGTCATCGTAATCATGCAGATTAAAAATTTCGCAAAACGAGGAATAGGAGTGAAACCATAAAATGCTTCTGATTTCTCAAACAAAGCTTTTATTTTTAATCCTCGCCGTACATTTTCATTTTCTCGGACTTGTTTGGCAACCCGGGAATCAGGAAAGGGCCGGTGGCTCTTCCTGGGAATTCATGGAAATCTGGAAATAATTATATCCAGTAACCAGATAGATTAATCAGAATGTTCATGTTTATATGAAGCGATCTGGATTTTCCTGAAATTGTCTTCCAACTTCCCAAGAGGTTTTTTGCTTACGTATACTGCGTCTTACGGGAATGTACCGAAATCTAAAATTGCAACCGTCACGAAAAGGTGTTAAGTTTTTAACGCTTATAACTTTGTCATTTATAGATGAAATTAAAATATAAAACCCATATTGATCCATATTGAATAGAACCTTTGCTACACAGTATAATCTCGTTTTTGATATTATCCATAGATAGACGAGGCCTTAACAGATATTTTTATTCTTATTGGTCTCAGTTTCTGCACTGCTCAATTGAACAGCAAATGCTAGTTTGAATTGGAGTCCAAATCATTATTCAATAATCAATTGATTTATGTCTTCACGTTTATTTCCTAACATGACAATAATTTTAAGATATAATTGTGGCTTATCTATGAGGAGCTGATAAGAGTTTTACGTAGCGCGAAGTGTATATAAATCATTTTCTTTTTGACGTAGGACTACGTCTTTGATTTCTATATGGGGGTACACTTTATGAAAACCAAAAATGGAACATGTAACAAATTAAGAAAGATTTCCGAATGTTGATTTTCAACAAAAAACTATTGAAAAACTGGTAAATATCCAGCATTGTCCAAAAGCGTCGAATTAACTAACAAATCCACCAATTACCTACATGCATATGCTGCTTCCCCAGCACAGTCGTCAGAGAGTAGTAAGTAGACGAAGCAAATCGAAGTGGCATTCGCCTCCGATCCTCAGGCGCGTGCGAATAGGGAGGATGGAATTGCGTAATATTTTGCACACTCATCGCCATACCAGCCAGAACCACACATCCTGAATCTGGAACTCAAACACTTGAAGTCCAGATTATACAACCATCGGCACTGATTTTTAATCAGTGCCTCAGACTTGGCTATTTCCCCTCGTGTTGGAAGTCAGCATCCGGAAACCTGGGAAGGATCCGTCCTCTCCTTCAAGTTATCGACCAATCAGCTTTCTCTCAGGGTTATCAAAACTGTTCGAAAGAGCAGTCTATCACCGGCTCCTAACATCTGCCGAAGATCTCAACTTGTTGCTGGAGGAACAGTTTGGTTTTCAAAAAAGGTCGTTCGACCGTCCACCAGCTTACTTGAGTGACAAACATTCTCCAACAGAACAAGTCTGTTTCGAAAACATCTGCCATGGCGTTGTTGGACGTTGAAAAAGCGTTCAACAATGTCTGGCATGATGGCCTGGTGTTCAAATTGCAGCATTACGGTCTTCCAATCTTCCTAGTGAAGATAATAAACAACTATCTATCGGACAGGACGTTCCGAGTCTCTCTGAATAGCATAACATCGGATGCTTTCAACATCGGTGATGTGGTTCCACAAGGAAGCATCCTTGGCCCCATCCTATTCAACCTGTTCACCTCCGATATGCCGGCTCTCCCTGATGGTGGATCGTTGTCTCTGTTCGCAGATGACACATCCATCGTCTACAAGGGTAGGGTCATCGGAGTTCTGACTGCCAAACTTCAGAGAGGCCTGGACGTCTTGTCTGAACATTTCAACAGCTGGAAGATCCGTATCAACGCGGCAAAGAACCAGGTCATCATCTTCCCACACTCAAAATCTCCCAGACTTGTTCCGTCTGAGAATAATAAGATCTGCTTAAACTGCTCAGTGGTGGAATGGTCCAAAGAGATCGTGTACCTCGGGCTAACACTAGACAGTAAGCTTCTTTTCAGGGAGCACGTTGACAAAACCAAAACCAAGTGCAAAATCTTGATAAGATCGTTGTATCCACTCATCAATAGGAGGTCTACCCTGTCCCTGAAAAATAGGCTTGCTGTCTACAAACAAATCATCCTTCCCGTAATAGAATACGGGATGCCAATCTGGGAGAGTTGCGCCAAATGCCATCACCCCAAACTCCAAAAGATCCTAAACAAGATCCTCAGGATGATCCTTAACAGTCCCCCGCGGACTAGAAATGCTGAGGTCCACTGCCTGGCTGGTCTTCTGACACTGGAGTTACGAAGAGATGACTCCATCGCAAGGTTCAGAGATTGCTGTAGGCGATCCGATCAATAGATCGTCAGGGATCTGGCACGTTAGGTTAAGTTAGGTTATGTTGGTAGAATAACAAATTAAAACATTGAAACAACATACTTCACAAGAAGAAAATTGAAAAACATTACACAGTAAAACACAACATGTACAACACAAAATCAAAAGGTTCACCAAAGATGAAGAGCCCTTCTAGCTAACCTCTTGCCCTGTATTAGCAATTGTAAACCACATAACAAATCAAAATAAAGAAGAATTTTACTACTACTACCCTCGCTCCAAACAACATACAGCTCGACAGCCTCATCCGTGTTGAACACCCAGCTCAGAATTACTGAACCATCACTACAAAACGGTCCTTTTCAGGACCACCATAAATTTGTTAAGAGTATTATTTGGACATTTGTCAAGGTCATCAGTTCCCGCAAGCAGCTTGCTATCAAGGCTCAACCTGGTCTCTATAGAAGGTGTGCACACTTAAAAATTATCACCGACTTCGGTAATTTTTACCGAAATCTGAACAGCTGAACTGTTCGGTAAAATTTATGCAATTCAATTCAATTGCTTTTCAGCTACTTTGAAACTGAATCCCCACTAAAATGACAAGATTTGATCATTAAAAGAAGGTTGAACATGTTTTGAAATTAGTTTCAAATTCAATAGCCTTTAAAATGAAGGTTAAAGTTTTACCGAACGTTCAGCTGTTCTTATGTCGGTAAAATTTACCGAACACGAAAACAAAATCTTAGTGTGTGGAATTGTAGGCCCGAATGTATTCGTGAGATTAATCATCGTCCAACCATTTTCCAAAACACGCTGGTAGGAAGTGTTAAAAATCCATATAGAATTTGAGAGAAGCGGGAATAATTCGCTTTGGGTGTATTTTCAGTCCCCAGAAAGCCAATAAAATAAAATTTGTGAGAAAATTAATCCCTCACGTGTTCAATCTCTCGAAGTCCCTCCTTTTTTACATATTCTGCTCAAACGATACTTTCCGCCCCGCCCCATTTATATAATTCGGAAGGAAATCCTGTGAGGGGTTAATTGAATACTCTTTAATACCAAAATGCACAAAACTTAAAAAATCATAAATAACAAAAAATTCAAAATACACCTTTTAAAGTCGGATAGATGAATCGAAAATACTCAAGTTGACAGTCCCTTGGATTCTCTTCATCAACTTTCTCTTTGAAATAAATACTACAAATTTG